TTGAATTGTGAAATTGCAAGTACTGAATGCATAATGTCGAACATGAATTCTTAAATGTGCATTCGTCCTTTTCATCATGCTAGAACTTAATAAAGTTATATAACTGAAAGATGATGGCTGAGTCGGACGAAGACATTTATATAACACAAAATAAGTTTAGCGGCGTGGTTTTTCCAAGCAGTGATCTGGATGAAATTCTCGGTGATTTTACTGGAGAGTTTGTTTACGATAATCAAAGTGTAAAGCAACCTCAGGACAAGCGTGACGAACCGACAACTTTTAAAAGAGGAGTTGTCGCGCTAAATGACGCAGAAGTGTTGGCGAGAAATGCCGAACGCATACCAACAAACACCAAAAAGACAACATTATGGTGTTTAAATGTTTAGGATGAATGGCGGAAGGAACGAAATGCTATTACAGAGACTTCGAATTCTGATGTTGGTGAACAACATTAGAGGGAATATTAGAGGGGAATATTAGAGGGGAATATTAGAGGGAATATTAGAGGGGAATATTAGAGGGGAATATTAGAGGGGAATATTAGAGGGAATATTAGAGGGGAATATTAGAGGGGAATATTAGAGGGGAATATTAGAGGGGAATATTAGAGGGGAATATTAGAGGGGAATATTAGAGGGGAATATTAGAGGGGAATATTAGAGGGGAATATTAGAGGGGAATATTAGAGGGGAATATTAGAGGGGAATATTAGAGGGGAATATTAGAGGGAAATATTGAATATATTCTCCGACAAAAACAAAGAAAACCGAGCAATGTGAAAAATAAGTGGAAACTAATTTTGATTTTTTGTTTAGCAAATTGGTCTGATCCTTTTCCTTCATTAAAATACAAATCTTTTTTACAAACATAAATTACATATTTTTTATCCTCTCGTGTACGAGACTGAGCGTTTTACAATTGACCATATTAGTTTGAAATCTTTGTTGTTGTTTTTCAATTGTCAAATATATTTCGACCGCAAATACATTTAAAAAGCGATACAGGAATCATATTGAACATTTTAGACACAAATCGTACTCAATTGGCATCGTGCTTTGAATGCTTTCAGTATATATAATCTAACTAAATCTATTAATATAGCTAAATCTTTCTAACATTTTTGCAGGACCCCTGTGTCGAGATGCCAACAACTGTGAAAGCGTTGACGTTTCTCCCAATTCTAATTTTATGCCTGACAGAAATCGTTGCTTCCACAGAAAACCCATTACTTCCTCGGAAACTAGAAGTCCAAAATATCGCATTGGGAGCTTCATCAAATTCGAGCAACACTTCAAATGCCTGCCATTTTGAAATTCCCGAATCATCGCTGAAGCATGTCGTAAGATTGATGCGTGATAGCAAAACGAATGTGATTAAGCTGAATGTTTGGACTGAGCTAGCAGAGAATGATACCACGAATAAGAACCAGACTCTATTGACAGATTTTCAATGGGCAAACCAAGTCGGTCGTCCATTATACTCGCTAATGCTTCAACCAGATGCTCCTCAATCGTTGCTTTTATCAATATTAACAGTTACATTGTCTGCTGGTCTTAATAATATGGACATTCTGGTTTACGCTAAAAACGAAAGATGTATGCTGTCTGCCAAAAACAATACGTCAAGAAATCCAGTCTTTCATCTCCTTCTGCAACAGCTTTATCGTGTCGGTGACGCCAGCCTTGACTATCAGCTATGCCTATCTAATGAACTCAGATTGGAATGTTGTTCAATGGAACCACTGAAATTGAGGAGAGCTGGAACTAAGAAGGTTCAATTGTGCTCAGACTACTCGTCAATCGTTATTGATTCCCTTCCCGCGATTTTGCTTTTAATAACGGTTTTTGTTATTTCTTTCGCTTTTCCTTTGCTTATAGACTATACCAATCGGTTTAAAAAGGAAAAAGAACATTATATAATTTCGGATAGTCCTATGGCATTATCATTCATAATGCACACGGTATTCATCGAGGGACGTGGTCCAATAAAGTCCTTTGTAAGGAGATTATTGATCGTATCATTTGTAATAGCGATCCTTTTACCTGTGCGAAATCTTAATATGTCTTGGTTCACCATCTTTCTTTATGTCCTGATATGTCATGCATGGGCATTAATTTTTCTATTTTCCGAGGAGCACAACTTGAGAGAAGGTGATTCACTTGTACAGTTCCTTTGTTGTAAATATGAAAGCCTAATCGAACTTATTTCTCTGCCATTCAACCTAAAACATTGGTGGGACAAGCAACCAGAAATTTTCAAGTCCCTTTGTCAACAACAACAACAACATGCGACTTAACGTGAATCTGAAGCTAACCCCACAGGATCGGAACAGACTTCATTGTTATCTGGACAGGAAACCCCGACGACCCAACTTCCTGACAATTATGGGTCTATTCCATCAGTTTCTCAACCATCGGAAACAACGATGAGCAATCGTTTGCAAGATCAGTCGGACAGTTCATTAAAGTGTCGTTGGTTCGTATATACTTTCTTACTTTTGTCATTATATATTTAGGAATTGTTCTCCCGTTATCGTGTATATTTGTTTTTGTTGTAATATTTTGTGTATTCTATTTCTGGAATCCATTTAAAAAGTGTAGAGAGTGTGTAACTAGTAGCCGCAGCGCACCAGGAATGTTAGTCAAACTCCTTCTCTTGCCCTGGAAGTTAAATACTGTCACAATATTTTTTATCACTTATGGTTCCATCTATTTCTTGTACTTCTTTCTTCCTTTCGTTGCTGGTCTATTGCTTAACGGAGAAACGTATGGTCCTTATGTCGCTCCACTCACCACCATTTTATTGTACTCGTGGATTAATTGGAGAATATCAGTGGAAGAGAAATACTTATTACAATAAAATACAACAAAGACCGTTATTACTTCAACAGCATCAACAAAGACAAAAACAACAACAACAACAACAACAACAACAACAACAACAACAACAAAACCCCCAACAACAACAACAACAACAACAACAACAACAACAACAACAACAACAACATCAACATCAACAACAACAACAACAACAACAACAACAGCGACTGAATTTGTTTGTTATCAAATCTAACAATGATGGCGAGCCAATGATTCCAAAAGAGTTGTACAATAGGGTTAGGGAGAAATTTCTGCCTTACGATCAAATTTTATTTCATTATTTCATAGGAGTATTAATTGTTATAGCTTTTGCATACTATTTATACATTCTCATGTCATTCTCGCAAAAATCAGGAGTCTCGAGTAGTGTTTAAGTAATCGGGTCAATCGTTGCCACCACCTTACCAATTATTTTCAACCTTGTTTGGAAACAGTACAGCGACGAACAAAAGTCAGCCGATATATTCTCCATGAAGTCGAAAATTAAGCGCATTTTGATGATACGTCGATGTTCGGATGATCCTGAAAAATTTGAAATAATGTTTAAAACCGAAAATCAGCCCGCACAGCAGGATGGGACTGAGAGAGAAAGTTCGCCCAATCACTCAGTCTGATTGCATGGATTCCCAGGGTATTAGCCATAGTCTACTTTAATTTAAGAGTCCAGTCATGGTTAATCCTAATCTTTGTTTGTGTATTCTACTTATTTCGCCATAAAATCGGCCACTTCACGAAATAACAATGCCTCATATAAGTATGTTTTACCCCACTCTAGCTGGCACTTAAACGCAATTTGCTGAATCAGTAGAGCATGCGGTTTTAAATTTTTGAGTGATTTTAATCAGTTCGCATGTAGATAACATTGAAACATAAATATGTAACATTGAAACATAATTAATATAATATAAACATAATTTAATAACTCTAAAATAATACAGTGAACAAGGATTGAAGTTTGCTGAAGTAAATTGCATGTTTTGATTCTTATATTGTTAATTAAGTATGTATATATATATATATATTATATATATATATATATATATATATATATATATATATATATATATATATATATATATATATATATATTGAATTTCATATAACGTAATATTGGGTATTTAAGAACATGTATTTCTTAAAATATTGCTGACTTTGGTGTGACTCAATAATAAAATAATGCGAAATTTAAGATTGTCCGAATAGTAAATTAGTCTTTAGATTTTTGTCTAATTCCAGATGCAATGCCATTATTAGCGCAAAAATTTTAAAATCTCGGAAACTCCACAAATTATGGGCTTCCACTTCTTTTCTTCTCGACAAAGATGCGCAGGGGGATACCTTGAAACTAAAGCCAGAAATTACAAATTTTCATTGTAATGGTTCTTTTTTTGATGGTTTACAAATAATGGTTGGTGAAGAATATATTTCTTCGTCCCCCCTGTGCTTTATCGAGCTGTCGAAGATGCTAGGCTTAACTGGATCTTACCTGGCGTGACAATGTTGAACACCAACATTCACTCAAGCTTAATTCATCACCCCGCTGTCAACGTAAGACTTTGTAACTGGGTTTAAAAACGCTTTGAACAATTAAATAATTCATATCACTCGTTAACTGTAACCTGTGCTGTTTAAAATCCGCTTCATATGAAATAAAGGTTTCCCAATGGACGACTTGCGCTTTAGGCTAATTTTTTACATCGACGATAAAAAGGACTTTTTTTTGAAAGAGCTTACTAAAATTAGTAAAACTGCCAAGTTTGGCTGGGAGTTGTTATAAATTACGGAAAATATAGCCATGCGAAGTTGACGAATTTAATAATTTGTATACTTTTGTATTACGGCCAAAAGTGTGTAACTAATTTAGTTACACATTTTCGCACGTAATACAAAAGTATACAAAATATGCCAACTTCGTATGGCTATATTTTCCGTATTTTACAAAATTACGCAGCCAAACTTTGCATTTGCACTAATTTAAGTAAGATCTCTCTAGTTGTGGTGATTTATTTCCTTCTAGTTACTTCCATCAAAATTTAGTCTAAAGCGCAAGTCGTCCATTAAGGTCTATTACTGTCTGTTGTTATATGCAGGGCGCTTATATATAGGGCGGTGCAACGCGCTCATTGCGCGCCGATCGATGTGTGATGCGGAAGTATGGTAACGAGTCTGTTGTTTTTGCATAATAAAATATGGCGGATAGACTTGAGGAGGCAGAGGAGCAGTATTTCGATAGGAATGATGAGCATTTCTCGTTCTCTCATGATACGGGGGATTCATCTTCTACAAGTAATGCACACCAGGACAATGACACTGTCCGGGGCCATGCTGGGTGGGCAGTAAAGAGAGCTAGAGATGTTATCTTTAAGGGGCAAGATAAAGTGCCAGCGAAGGAAACTGTTAACGACGATTCGCCAGTGATTTTCAGCAGCAAAACAGCCGCACTAGCAGTTTTCTCACTATTGGGGGAAGATACGAAACAGGCTAATGGCAACTACAATTTTATTATTTATGAGCACGTCAATCCTTTTTTTATTTATCTGCACAAATTGACTGAACTTCTATTAAGTCCGGATAATATTCTCAGGGAAAAGGAAAACATACTGAAATTTTGTCTTGATGAAATGTCAACAAATAAGGAATTGAGAGGTAGATGGAATGAAATAACACCGAATTCAGACATGGTAGCATCTGTTGTGGTTTTGCAAAGAATTGTCACTTTCTTCCTTAAGTCGAAGCAGCAAATAATTCGTGAAAAAGAAGGCCTTAAGCCGAAGAAAAATAGCATCGCTCACCGACAGCAATTAAGTCGAAATAAAAAATGCTCTGCTGTATCCCACACTCGGACAACAGTGGATCAATCCCACACTCAGACAACAGTGGATCAATCCCACACTCAGACAACAGTGGATCAATCCCACACTCAGACAACAGTGGATCAATCACATATACAAACCTTGAGAAACAATTTAAACAGTTCTTCATTACATGTGTTTTTACTTCATTTGCAAACTCTGCCTTTTTCAGAACAGGAAAATATTTTGACAAAATTCAAAGGGAAGGAACTTGGTAAAATATTGAAGTCATTGGGACAGCCAGCATTTTTTGGGAAAAAAAAAGAGAAACAAATACAGACCCTCTTGGATACAATAAAGAGAGGACAGATATGCATAAATTTTCCCAAAGAGGTAAGTCTTATTATAAAAGTGAAAACCAGGGCGCTTATAAATATGTATATATATACATGTCTAAGCGCCCTGGTGAAAACCATACCACATTGCTAATAGAAAATAAATAGAAAATTTATTAAAAAAGATATATATATATATATATATATATATATATATATATATATATATATATATATATATAAGATATATATATATAAGCACCTATTTGTTTATACCAAATTATTCATATTTTTGTGAGCCATGACTGGCTCTTGTGAAAGTTTTGCCCCCCGGCCCTGAAAAGACTAATCTGGCACTGCCTCTAGGTAAGGTCTTCATTTACCTATGAGAGTGGTCACAATTAATGCTGTGAAAGGGTCCTAAAGATATTTTGAGTCTATTAAGAAAATACTAGAAAATATTCTGATGCACTTAAGGGGGCCCACAAAAGTTAACTTGCATATTGACTTTATAAAAATTGTATCCTTGTTTCTATTCTAAGAACTCTAGTATGTTGACACTGTGGGATCTACATTGCAAGGGGGGGTGTAAAATTTTATCATTGGATCAAGGGGGGCACAAAACCTAAATGTCTAGAAATGAGGGGCCATGAAAAGGAATGGAAGCCCGAGTAAATATCTTCCACCCCCCTCCCGGCATTAATTGTGACCACTCCCTAACTTAATATTATAGTTTTATATAGTTGGCAAAATAACTCTCAAAGATAAACTGGCCACAGTTGCGAGGTAAAGATACTTTCCATATTACCTCTCCTTGGAAGACTTGTGATGCTACTCTCCTGCTCACTACTAAGTTCTATTTCATCATTATCCAAAACATTTGTTTGTGTCTTCCTTAGCAATTTGGTGGCAGAATATGTGATAGCACTGTTTACGTTATATCCATAAGCAATTGCAGTCATGTTGGTTGTACCGCCACATGATTGCCTTTGCACCGAGAAGAAAGACTCAACTAGATCTTGACTTAGTCGCTTTGGAATCACATAATGGCTTCCTTGGAGGGATTGGATTTCAGGACTTCCAATGAATTTAACAAGTTCCTTAAAGCCGTTAATTGAAACCTGCAAAGTCAAAGAAAACAGTTGGTCAAATAATATTCATTCCCAAGTTCATACATTCACTTTTTAAGTTCAAAAGGGTTTTGATATGAATTTTAAATTTTATTAGATATGTATGTGAAGAGTTAACTAAAAATACTGGGTTGATTATAGTTAATTATGGCTTTCAAATCAACTATCAAATCCGATTATTTTGCATAGATCAAAAAGTAGTCATTATGCAAAAGGTCTATTGAATGGTTGATTTTGTTCATTTTCATATATAAATAACCAATTAAATCACCGGCAAGTCAAACATTGTTTGCCAAGAAATAAAATGTGATGATATCTCAGCTTTAGTTTTAAATTTAGAAGCAAGTTCATCCTTCCAATTATTGAAAAACTGTATAACATTTTCCAAATCTAAAATTCTAGAATCGGTTATTGATGAAAGTGGTTTGTCATCATTGAAGACATTCCATAATTTCTCACAGTTTAAAATGAATTTCTGGGTTGACGTCGTTTCATCTGACTCAAATGTCTCCATATCTTTCTGCACTTTTGAGTTCAGGGCTTGGACAGCAAGCTTCACCCGCATCTTACTTAAGCTATCGAGGTGAACATGGGAACTTCTTAGGTCTGTTGAAAACAAATGCCTCTGTTTGTCTCTCAGATAAACAGAATAGATGTGATCCCACAAAATGTTTTTAGAATCTAACAATAAGCATCGAGTATATCTTGGGGAATTTTCTTTGAAGCCACTCTTGTAAATGTTGTTGCGGAGTTTCTTAATCAAATGGGGTGGATCAGACATGAAGAACATAGGGAGTTTGGAGTATGGGTTTATCGTTTGGCTTGTCGTTTCACTGCAACCATTCATTGTCATAAATTTTCTGTTCTCAGCAGCACCATCACAACATGTCAGAATGACTTTAAAATCATAGCCATGTAGCAAACCAACTCCTTTCCAAAATAATCTGTTTAGGTTTTGAGCAGATATTCCTCTTGTTAGAAAATAGGAACATGGAAATTGAAAACCAGCAAACAAGCTCTTATAGAAAAATTGTAGCACATGTGTTGCAAGGCTGTCTCTTAGATTGGGTGACTTATCATCAATGTCCAAATCAGTAAAACCGATTAATTCCCATGATGATGGGTCGAAGAGTAAGCCTTCTTTAATTTTGACTTCATCAAATAAAAGACAACCAAATTTTCCAGCTTCTGGAATTTTCTTATCTACAAAGCTGTTTCTCATGGCTTCTAACACAGATGTCTGCCAACCAGATTTTGATGAACAGAAGTTTTTGTAATCGGAAAGAGTTCTTCCACTAGGAAGTTTTAGGAAACCAGATTCTCGAAGCTCAGTGTACATGCTATGGGATTTACAATACATTCGTAGGCACCATTTCAATATCAAAGGATGCCACCTCATTTGTTTGGAAGGCATATTCAAAGCCTTTGCCTGATCGTTCAAAAGGGTAATGAAAAATGTATCTGACTCACTCCCTGTATGTTCAACAACATGGCTGTGGAGAAGCTTCTTTTTCCCAAAACGTTTGTCGCAGCCTAACCACTCACAAGTATATTGCCTGTTGATTGGTGCAACATCATCGACAGTTTTAATATGAACAGTTTTCAAATGTACAAGAAGCAACTCTGGTGTTTCAAATTCAGTTTCCAAATCACAACCAACCCAATAACAAGTGTTGTTATCATGCTTTTTAACCACTTTATCCAATCCTTTATACAATTCTTGAAATAACTTCCTAAAATCTGAATCTGTATTACTTCCAACAGTACTCATTTCCTTTTGGTATTCTTCTAGCCTTTTTATTTTGGTCTGCATCACATGAAGTTTTCCTGCCATTTCTCTAGTACGATTGAGTAGCTTATCTTTCGACATATAATCATATCGAGTATGCTTAGAATTCTGACCTATGACTATGTTCTTGCTTCTATATTTAAGTGTCCTCATGTAATGACCTGACTGTTGGCAAGATTTGCAACTTTCACCATCCTTAATAAATATGTCACAATTGGTGGATCTTAAACATCTTTTGCAACAATTTCCTGACAAAGATTCTACAAATGCTGCAGGCTCTCCACTAGCTCTCCTATAAACTGGTGTACTGTCATTCTCAGGTAACAAATCTTGGTAATTTTCAACAGAAGCACCAGGGCATAATCGCAATTTCTCGAGAGATTTCATGAGTGAGTAAAGCTGATGCTTGTCATAAACTGATGATGGAAGGAAATTGTCATCAAAATTCAAAACTTTGGGCTGTCCCATAAAAACAAAGAAATAACTCCCATCTGATGACACGGTTACTTGATACTGTGCATTCACAGGACTTCTACCCATATAATAGAGATTGACTTTTGATTCTTTGACATCAGGAATGACTTTCCACTTCGGAAACCTATTCATGCAATCAGCACTGCCCTTGTTTATCTTCCATGCAAGACTTTGTGAGAGCTTTCCTTCCTCCACACTGGATAGGCATGCCATTTCTAGATCTCTGCACAAGTCATCATAATAACTATTGTGGCTTGCATCAGAATTTAGGAGTAGGTTCAAAAGGAGTGATTGGTGTGTAGTAACAATCCTTTCAATATAAGTTGAATAGAAAACCCATCTCAGATATCCATTATACTTTCCAAGTCCCTTTCTAAGATTGTTAATGGATCGATAGAAATAGTTTTGTAAGCTGACACAATCAAAACGAATGCCATATACATTATAAACTGCTTTTGTAATGCCAATAAACTTTTCGGGAGTGTATCCCTTTGCAGAATTAATGCTGCCAGATGGTGAGGAAATTCTCAACAAACAGTATAGAAGAAGTTCTTCAGGTTGTAAAGTAATTTTACCAGAGTATTGTACTTGCGCTGTTTTAGTGTTTGTAAAACAATTTGTATAATCAGCAACGGGTTGCTCCCTGTCGTTTCCCTGAGGTGTCGCTTCCCCTGCAGTAGTTTCCAATGATTCAGACACCCTTGCTGGTTTGTACTGAGACACATACGTGTCATCAACTTCTCTTTTGCCGCAAGAATTAGACATTTTGTTTACAAAACTGTTGTTTACATGCTCGAAAATCAATGGTGAGAAAAAAGATGAACTTGCTTACGACAGGAAAATGACGCGAAACTGAGAGATCATCTTTGCTCACGTTATTGTATGTTACCATGTTTACGCTTTAACCTTCGATAGAATACAGTTTGCACATCGAATCTGTGGCCGGATAATTCTTTCGTACATAGATAAGGAAACCATCTACTCAATTTGTTATTTTTTTGGTGCGTATAGACAAACGATCATCTCGCCTTCCTGACAAAAAACTTACAAGGCCTGGGCAATTTTTTATCAACGAAAGCGCTGGGCATATTTACAAGCAATTTGTATTTTATTAACTTGGCTAGAAGGGTAAAATTACTCAAGCCTCTAGTTCATTATGATATTTTCTTTAGAAAAAGTTATAAATTCTTTTAAAGGACTATTGTTGACCAGAACACAACAAAATGAAAACAATTGTTACGTTTTGTTGTTGTCAAGCAGCGAAGAAATGCACTAAAACTAACTCACGATTAAAGTACAAGTTCTAGTTATTTTATCTGAAATCCATCCACTTCAATTCTAATGAAAAGTATAATATGTCATTCTATTATTATTATATTCAACATACCTGAAATATTTCGTCGTGGACAAGCAGTTACATGCAATATGTTCAAATTGAAATCTTCCCCCGATTCAAGCCATTACACGATCCCGTTGTTATCCAAAAATTTAATATTTGAAAAGGCGGTTTTTAAATAATTGAAGTTACCAGAATTTCAATGAAATAGAATTACTTAACAACCCGTTAAAAGTTCTTCCAAAATGCCATATTTAAGAAAAAAAATTGAAAATATATAGCATTTGTAAAAAACACACTCCATTCACATTTCGCTCGACAATCACGCTCGTGCCAGGCCATTTCCGCATCACACATCGATCGGCGCGCAATGAGCGCGTTGCACCGCCCTATATATAAGCGCCCTGGTTATATGTATTATAAAGATATATACTGAGATCATATGGTTATTATTTTCATTTCGTTTTTGACAATAACTATTAATTGTCAGTTTTAATTCGTATATACTCTTCTTTGCTACACGTGTCATTTCTTGGAATCACTTTCCAAATACCGGAAATTGGAGGCCATCAAATTTTATAATATATGTGACCCTCCACAAGAAATCATACATTAACGCTTTTCCGTTAAATGGGCAAAAAAAACGGATTCAAAACGGTTAGTAAACGGATGCCGTAAAGCGTTTTCACGCTTCGTTAAAACGTTAAAACGGTTCGATGAAAAAATTTAACGCTTTCAAGAAAGCGTTTTTACGCTTTGGAGAAAGCGTTTGCACGGATACGAATAACCGTTTAAACGCACAGAAAAATGAACCGTTTTTTGGATGGGCCGATTCATCCCTATAAACGGTTTGACGAATTTATATACCCAATTTCACGGACGAAACCGGACGATTTGGGGAATCCTTCGATCCTAGACCATGATTCGGTTTTTAAATCAAACAACGGTAAAATATGCGGTCAACTGTCTTTTGCATGTGCATGTTTGATATACCGGAGAACATGATTAACAGGTAAAGGCAAGTAGCGGATGTAACATTATACGTTGTTTATGCATGTTCATGCAGCTATGAGGGAGCCAGAGCTTCGATCGCTACCGCACCCTGCTCTTTATTGCTACGTATCCCAGTACAGCATGGATAATATTAAAATCATAAAATGGAGTAAAATTGTAAAAACAATAGCCAAATATACCTAAAGGACATGGCCACAATCATGCCACTGCACTGACTGCAGACATATATTATGATACATGCCGTCAAAGTTCCAACAGCTTTAGGGCTAATTACGCTCCGTTGACAGCTGGACATAAATACTCGATCAATGTCATATGGACTAAGGTCGTAGAAGCAAGCAGACCATACAGTTGTGATTTGCCACTCGTGCGAAGCAATTTACTTTGTTGTTTATGTGTGACCTTCATATTTGCCGCTCAAACTGTAGGATTGGAACTTTGTTTTTCTTCAGTAGTGACAACTGTGCTTATCACAGGAAACTTATGCTTATCCTTTTTAACTTATACTGTCGCCAGGACTTAATTAGTTGCACAAGTGCATGGATAGGTAACGCATGCTCCGGACGAGATTTAATTAGTATAGTTGAGGCATCCGACTAAGCACCAAGAAAAGAAGAGACGGTTATAGCAACAACAGCCAAGCTTAGAAGCAATTGGGAAACCATCTGTAAGTTACCTCAATTCAATTAACCGTATTTAGCGTGTTTGGCACAGTTTTAGTTTAGTTTAGGATTATATTAATTTAGGCTATATTTCTCTATCTAGTCGAACCACGTTTCATGTTTACGTCATACCTTTATGTTCATGTTCGTCTGACCTTCTGCACGATACTACACCTTTTATTGTTACAATTATATACTTGAAAATATCGTCTGGAGTTTGCGATCGTATATTTCGTTGCATTGTTCCGTCAGAATCGGTTGGTGTTATTATCAACATCGTTGCCCGCGGCAAAACTGGTATCCATTTTTTACGTGCGTTTGAACTGTTTTCCGTGCAATTGCGACACCTAGCTCAACCGTGCTCACCCGTAAGCTTTGTACCTGACTATTTTCGCAAAATCGACGGTGATAGAGCTTACACAAACACTTCAAGCGTTCTGCGTTCGTTGAAACGATTTTGGAGATCGTTCATCGTTCGAAATTGCCCGTTCGAACGCCTCGAGAAAAAAGTTCGAAAATGGTTCCAAAAGCGTTCAACCGTTTTGATTTACTGTTCGTTGGAACGTTTGCCGGAATTTTTCTCAATCGCATTGAATTTGGTAGAGCATTAGATTAAACATTTGCAATGTTACAACTTTATAGAAGAAGCGACAAATGTGTAACACATAGCTAATACTCCTAGAAACGTTTTCAATTCGTTAACATGCAGAAGGCTTAAGCCTTAAGTAAAGGGGTTATATCATTTTAGCTGAATCGAATGCTATCTCGACAATTTCGTGCGCTTCAAGATTTCTCTTAGCGTTCAGTGCATGCAATTATGTCATTAAGGTCAAATTTCAAGTCATAAACTGAAAGCTTTCCTTCAAAAATTTATTGTTTTTTGAATGCCGCGGTAATGCAATGGTTAGAATCTATGCTTTAATGCTTTTGTTGTTTCCATAAAGCTTTGCCTTTGGTTCAACGCGCGCACAAACATGCAAGGTCGCTAGCCATATATACATTAAAACAGCATTACGTAGAATTGCATTGCCATTTTTGTTGTGTGGTTGTTGGAAGTCGTTTAAATAGTCATTGGGATAGATACGAAACAACGTGATAGTATGAGCAAAACCGGATAACTGTATACTCTATAGTATGCAATGATTAAAACCCTTATATAGTTGTGTAAGCAATGAAATAAATCTACATAGATCTTTTGAAGCGCTTGATCGTGGACGCCGACGTTCACCGGCCGAGGGCGATCAGAATAAAGCACTTCGCAACTTTCGGCAAAGTCAGATGCACCAAGCACTGAAGCATATTTATAATCAGGCATCTTATATTTGGTTATAATTTGATTTCCCTCGACTAGCTCCTCGAATCGGAAACGTGGAAAGCGGAAAAGCTCAAATGTACAAATGATAGAGATGCTATGAAAGTAATGAAAAAAATAGAACCACAAGGAAGTCGCCCAATGAACATCATAATATTGCTCACTGAAATTTAACGCAGCTAAACTTTGATAGGCACAAAACACAAGCCATAGTATTTGTTCAAAATAATCAGGACCAGGTGACAAATATAACAAACCAGAAATTATAATTGATATTATACCATTTAATTATATATATAAGCTTTCTGGATATTAAACTATAGCATAAGCAATGAAAGACACGGTCTACAAATTGCGTGTTTTACGAGGTAAAGTTTTAGCGCTATGTTTTTACAAAGTTTGTGCAGTCCTTGCGCACACTGGCACAAGCCCAATTGGTAAAATTGGCAGCTGACATGCTGCAGTGTAAGTCTAATACAATATTGGCGATAAGTTATATCTAAAAGAAACTCAATTCGTTCTATTATCATAGGTCTTATAAACATTTAAGTTTGATCTCACAGAAAATGAACATTAGAATTCATATTTAACAGCTGCTTGGACAATAGGAAAATATTCACTAATTTTGATTTGGGCTCTCTTTATAAGGAAATTGCATTCCGGATATTAAATTGTAATCATGCATTTGGCATGTATGGTCATTGCACATTTGCACTTTGAAGGCTGTTGCCAGCTATAGAGCGGCGAAGTGAACAAATATGAAATGGCGCCGATCAAGTTCATAAGCACGCGGGTAAAGATCTTTACCAATAATTTCGCGAAGCCCTATCCCAAATATTTGCTGGATATTCATATCTCTGGAAACGTCGAGGTGTTTTAACACGTGCATATAACTGAGGTATGAACACATATTGATTAATTTCTAGACTGTAGTGTTTGATATAAGGCATGTTTGATTAAAAATAGTTTATGCATGAGTCGCGCTTGGAAATAATTCCCGTCAAGCATTGAAATCAGGCCTATCGATGAAATCATGAATCATCAGATTTCGTATTACTGTTGGCTCGATCAAAACTTTATTTTTTTTTGCCTTGTATGCATATATATTTATTTGTTAAGTGTGTGCATATATATTTATTTGTTAAGTGCGCACTAAGGCTTATATGAAATTTTTGTAGACTATATGCCAAAAGAAAGTTGCTGTTTGGTCAAGATCGCTTTGGTTCAGTCGAACATCGTAAAATCGAACATCGTTTGCCAGAGGTTCAAAGAGGTTTGAGTACTTTAATTGCCGGGGTGGTCACAAAACTGAGATAACATAAATAGGTGCATTTGCACTCAAACACCAAAAATTTTTCTTAACCAAAATTGTATCCAAATTCCTAGGTAATTTGTGTGTAGATGCAACCTTATTAATTCCTAAGCTGAGACAGGCAGGACAGGCAAATAAGATTTTTCCAGACACGAGAGTGAGTAGATACATTTTATGCATCAACACATAATGTTTCTGGAGAAGTCTTGCTTGAGTTATCGTAGGCAGGGGGCACAAATTGTGTCACAATTAGATGTCTCGCAGATGATGTGGATTGATTTTTGTTATAATGGTGAGTATAAACTCCCCTGTGCGTGCGTTTGGGATTGTGGTGTCTATATGGGCGACGCCACTGCTATATGCTCTGCAGAAAAAATTGTGCGCATTTTTGACAGTTTCGATCCGCTGTTTCTATAAGGGCAGTATATGTAATTGCTATATGTTTTGGCTAAGAAATTGTGCACCTTTGCGCCGGGATGGAGTATTAAGTTGCTTTTCAGGGCGGAAATCTTGACATTTGGATTACGGAACGCAGGCCTTCGATCCCATATTCAACTAACAAAAACTTTTTTTCATGCAGTGTAGCGCAGATAGCGTATAATATTATTCAGATAACATGCTAGCTATATAGCCTATATTCTATTGTTAAAGTTTTGGCAGATGCTGTTGCAGAATCTTTCGTTTATTCTGCCTTTCTGGTTCATCAAACGTTCACACTCGAAGGGACTGTATATTCTGATTTATTATCGATAGATTACATTTCATTTTGCTATATATACAATGGGTCATTATTTGGTATATCCCTATATCATATTACAATTACTATTTAGATCACATTACCCAAATCAGATATTTTACATAAAGTTTTACTACATATTAACTCGCGCTCCGTGGACTGGTGATCTGCGCTGGGAACTTACAACACCCCACCCACCTTGATTCATACACGTCTATGAATCAAGCATCGCCTTTGTTTTCGCTTTTGAAATTATGGCTGCCGCTCGTCTTGTTCGTTCATGCTGGTCTCCCTCTGGCTTAGCTGTAGGGATGTCCCTTTCCTCCCTTTCCCCACCCGGTCGAGATTGAACTTCCAATGGGAAAAGCTTCTCAATTGGTCTGTTTAAGAAGCGTGGTTTTCCTTTACCTGCAAGCCTAACCTTTGCTCCTCTAACTTCCTTATCCTTCCCTACAATTAACTCTTCTACTACTGCTAACTTCCAGGTACATCTTTTCTCGCCTTCTCCGAACACCGTCACTACATCTCCTTTCTGGACCTTCCTTAACTTTCCTCCGTTTGTGCACTTGTGAAACTCTCTAAGTCCCGTTAAATATTCGCCCTTCCATCTTTTCCAAAAGTGCTGCAACTTTAACGTTACATATTTAAATCTCTCCCCACAGCTACTCGCTCCTATGACTACCTCATTCTGTGGGATTAAATGGATTGCTCTACCATATATCAATGTGAAGGAGTTAACACTTCTCCTTCTAGCTCTTCAAATACTTCTGTTAATGGTCTCGCATTCAATGTGCCTTCAACTTCAACTAACACTGTGCTCAGCTCATCAAGGTTCAACTTTGCATTCCCTAACACCTTTCTAAGACACCTTTTCACACTGCGCACCATCCGTTCAAAGAAGCCTCCCCACCAAGGTGCTCTCTCTAAGTTGAATCTCCATGTTATTCGTTTGGCTCCTAATTCCGATCTGACTTTCGGCTCATTACAAATCTTCCTCAATGCTTTCTCTGCTGCCTTGAACGTTTTAGCGTTATCGGAAACTATAAGACTGGGTGCCCCTCTCCTAGCTGCAAATCTTCTCAAACAGCATAAAAACGTATCCGCTGATAAGTTGCACACTAATTCTAAGTGTATTGCACGGGTCACGCAGCATGAAAACAAGGCAATATACACTTTGTTCGAACAATTACCGGACTGTTTGACAAAAAGCGGACCTGCAAAGTCGACTCCGACTTGCGAAAACGGCGCGGCCTGTCTGACTCTAAATTCTGGCAAGTCTGCTTGTGGTGCTCTGCTATACGCTTTTCCTTCCAATCTTTTGCAAGTTACACACTGGCTCACAATTCGTTTTACCAGCTGCCTTCCCTTAACTACCCAGTATTTAGTTCGTAGCCTGCACAGCGTAGCACGTACACCCGAATGGTGCACTTCTGATGGCATTTTCGGACAATCAACTCTGTCAGTCTATGTTCTTTTGGCAGGATAATTGGAAAACAGTTGTCAATTTCTAAATCTGATTTTTTAATCTACCTTGGCTCCTAAGGATACCCTCCTCTTCCTTCAACCTTAAACTCACACTGAGTTGGGTGAACTTCTTTTCAGTTTTTAGTTCTGCCTGTGCTTCTTTAATCCAAATTTTTTCGGCTTCAATTATTTCGGCAACTGAAAGAGCCCCAGACTGCCTATCGACTCTCTTTACTCCTGCGCTAGCATTACGTAGGAATCTCATCACGCATGCTGTCACTCCAAAAAGCTTCTCTGAACTACTAAATTTGTTAATATCAATCACATCTTTCACACTACATTGTCTGTCTGCCTGTACAATCATCGTTGCTACCTGGCGTTCTTCCTCTACCACCGTCTGACTCTTCCCCGCACTCTCAAACTTAGGCCATTCTTCTTTGGGCTTTTAAGCCATTTTGGTCCAGACCACCACAACTGGTTACCCTCCAGTTGTGTACCTAATTCACCCCTTGAACCTACATCGGCTGGATTCTCTTTACCCGGACAATGTCCCCAGTCTCCTTTCGTTGTCAGTTTTAAAATCTCATTCACACGATGAGCTACGAATTGCTTCCATTCACCTCTATTCTTTATCCAGTACAGGGCTGTCATGCTATCAAGCCAGTAATAAGTAGAATCTATCCTAACCTGGTTTTCAAATGCTTCCTTAACTGATTTCACTACTTGTGCAAGGAGTCGTGCTGACATCAACTCTAGTCTGGGTATGCTTGTTTGTTTCAAGGGTGCTACCCTAGCCTTGGAGGTCAATAACCGAACATATACCCCAAATCTCGTTTGACACACAAAATAAACAACAGCGCAATATGATTTTTTACTTGCATCCCCAAACCCATGTAAACTACACTCTAAAACCTCCTCTACTGGACTGGCATACATACAACGGGGTGTACTTATCTCCTTAACTTCTAAAAGGTCTTTAACCCAGGCTTCCCATTTCCTACGCGTTTCCCCGGCAAATTCCTCATCCCAATCAATTTTTTCCTTACAGACTTCTTGAAACAAAATCTTTGCATACACAATTATTGGACTAATTATGCCAAGCGGATCAAACAGACTAGCTAGTACACTTAACAAACTTCGCTTTGTTGGTGGCAATGCCTTTGCCTTTTCACCTGACTTAAATACTTCAAATTTAAATTCATCCTCGTAATTATCCCATACCTGCCCCAAAACCTTATGGCATTTAGAGTCGGCCCCCTTTGTTCCTAATGAAAACTTTGCATAAGTCTCACTCTCTCCCCCGCCATCTGGGTTTGTCTTATCTATCCCTCTCTCTTTCCGATCAATCTGGTCACTCAATGCTTTGCTATTTGTTAGCCATTTCCTTAGATTAAACCCTCCTTCTGCCATCCTAGTCTTTGTATTCTCATACAACTTAAATGCCTTTCCTTCACTTCTCTCTCCACTGACCAGGTCATCCACATAAAAGCTTTCAAGAACCTTACGTACAAACTCTGGGTCTATTTCTTTGTACTTTGAGACATGATGCCTCAAGGTGGCATTCAGTAAAAATGGCGATGAGTTTAATCCGAATACTACACGGCAAAATCTGTAAACCATTACCTCCCTATCGCTGCTTGCAATCTCATTCACCCATAAAAACCTCAGAGAGTCTCGGTCTTCCTTGTCTACCTCTACATTTAAAAATGCCTTTTCGATGTCTGCTACTAATGCTACTCTATTTTCTCTGAAACGTAACAATATACTGTAAAGCAATGGATTGAGCGATGGTCCAACATGCAAACAGTCGTTAAGCGATGTTTTAGATTTTATTCCTTTCGAGGACGCGTCATACACTATGCGTACCTTAGTTGTCACTGCATCTTTACGAATTACTGCTTGGTGAGGTAGATAATGAACTTTGCCTGCTTTCTCAAGACTTGGTACCTGCTCTATGATTCCCTGCTCTGCCTGATCTCTTATTATCCTATCGTACTCTTTCAACAATTCTGGCTCCTTTTCCAGTCGTTTCAACTGGCTTTTCATTCTAGCAAGACTATTCATGTAATTGTCTGGAAGATTGTCATGATCCTCCTTCCAGGGCAGTTTTACTGAGTATCGATTACCTGTGAATGATATTCCATCAAGAAATGTTTCATGAACTGTGTCCTCTTCAATTATACCCAATCCTTCAAACTCCAAAGTTTTCCACATTACTTTCTAAGCTATCTCTGTCCCATTTCGTTGTCTGCCCCACAAAGTTCACCTGAGTCACTCCAGCACCTTCTATCTCTCTTCCCCTAAGAGGTCCTGACAACACCCATCCCAACTCAGTTTGTATAGCTACGGGCTCCCCTGTCTTACCTTTCTTTGTCTCACCTGTTTGGAAATTCCAAAGATAGTCTGCCCCTATCAAAACGTCTACCTCTAATTCTTCCTGAAAATTCACCACATCTGAGAACCATACCCCCTCTAGATGCGAATAATTCTTTCTAGCTAATTCTACGTGACTATTCTGCACAGTGCAAATTTCTGGTACCACATATGCTTCTATTGAGATAATCTTATCCCCATTAACAGGCTGAAGTTTAAGCTCGACCACTTCCCTTTGTTCAGCCTTCGTGCACTTTTGACCGAACGTATTAATGCCTAGAAATTCCCTTCTTAAACCCCGTGGATTAACAAGACTCGCTGCATGCGATGTAACGAAAGAGCGATGACTTCCCCCATCAAAGAGTACCCGGACCTTAGCCACCCTCTCACCCCTTAATACCCCGCGCGCAGTTTGCAAGGCAACCAGACCACCTGTCCCGGCAAGCAAGTTATTACATGGGCTAGCTACATTATTGTTAACCTTAGTTGATGGGATTTCTTCATTCTTACAGGTCTCTTCGTCTTTCAGAGACGCATCACATAGGGCGACATGATGCATTCGGTCGCATTTTCGACACTTAATTTTAGAACTACAATTACTGGCTCTATGGCCCTTAATTAAACATTGAAAACATCTACCATACTTTAAAGCTAGGGTCTTACGTGTTTTTGGATCCTTGACTCCATCACATTCTTCGTGCGCGTGGTTCTTTAAACAGAATGCACAACTCTTTTTCTCTTGACCAGCCAGCAACGCCGCCGCTGTCGAGTTATCTAGACCCCCAGTTGGTTTCCTGCTTTGATTTCTTTCATACTCCCGTTCCGTTTTAGTCGCCACCGCTTCGTGCGCCTCTCGCAGTTCTAACTCCTTCTCAAACGCATCCAACATTTCTTGCATCGTCCACTCAATGAAATCAGTTCCTCGGGTGATCATAAGCCGAAATTGTTCAGGCATCTTCTCCAATATGGCCGGTACAACAATAGTGGAATACGATTCTTCTCCCACGCCTAAGGATTTCAACGCGCGGTTGTGGGCTTCGCAGCTGTCATATAACTTCCGCAGCCTTTGAGTGTCCCTTTCTCTAAAAACCGCAGGCAGTTGAATAAGGTCATTCATATGTGTGCGTTGAATTGCACTTCTTTTCTCGAATCGTTTCTTAAGCAGATCCACCGCGCACTGATAATTCCTTGCTGTTAATGACAGACCAGCGATGGTCGATTTTGCCGGCCCTTCAAGGTATCCGCGTAGATATGCAAATTTGTCTACGTCCGACAATTGATCATTGTTGTCGATCGAACTCGAAAAACTGTCCCAGAACTCTGGCCATTCGCAAATTTTCCCCCCAAAGTTTTTCAACCGTAACTTTGGTAACTTTGCTCTTATGATTTTGCCCGTGCTTTCAACCGATGTTTGGCTTTCGTTCAGAATCTCATTGTCATTGATCGCCACGGGTTTTGTCGTTGTCAATTCTAATTTACCGAACGCGTTGTCCATTTCAAGTAAAAGGCGTTCAAGTTCTGCGATCACCTCGTCTGCTTCTTCTATCTCCTTTGCCATCAATTCATCCGCCGCTTCTTCTTTCGACTCGCTCAGGGCATCGATGATTTTCGTGTCAAGTTCTCTTAAGATTTTTACCTTTTCCTTCAAGGAGCTTTGACTCTGCTTCAGCCACACGACGTCTTTCTCTGGACTCTCATCGCTTAACTTAGCGATCGCTTCGACTATCTTTGCCACAAGCTTCTTCGTAGACGACCTTTGCCCACCTCGTACGCGTCTTTTCTTAGCTAGGTCATCCATGTGTTCGATCTAGGTCGTCTGACCTTTGTGACAATTTTCTTTCGTGCGGCGACTGCCGTGCGAGTCTAACTAACGTTTCCACAATCCGCTTTAACTATCCAGCATACAATCCGGTTCGAAGGACCACTGTGTTGCAGAATCTTTCGTTTATTCTGCCTTTCTGGTTCATCAAACGTTCACACTCGAAGGGACTGTATATTCTGATTTATTATCGATAGATTACATTTCATTTTGCTATATATACAATGGGTCATTATTTGGTATATCCCTATATCATATTACAATTACTATTTAGATCACATTACCCAAATCAGATATTTTACATAAAGTTTTACTACATATTAACTCGCGCTCCGTGGACTGGTGATCTGCGCTGGGAACTTACAACAGATGCTCTAAAATATGTGATATTATAAATATGAGATAAAGTATTTCATTATGAAATATTTAGAGATATTTTGTGACCACCAAGAATTTTTAGTTAAATAAGATTTGACATAGAGCTCATATTTTTCCTACAGAGGTCAAATCTTTTCAATAACATACATAAATATTGCGTCAATTTTAAGTACGGATTAGAATAATCTGATTATACAGCATAAGGCTATTAATTATATGACTGTGTAGTCGTGTGTTCTCAAAATGAAAGCAAATATAACTATAGTCTAAAAAGCGATCGATATATGGCAGAAAATCGGTTTTTATATATATCACACCTATCGTGATTTTTTACCAACCCATTTTCAAATTTCGACACGCACTGGCGAAAATTGGTTAAATGCACTGTGTTGAAAATGTTGTGAAAATGTGTAATATAGCGTATATAAAAGTTGATATAATATAACAGGAAACTCGCACACGATCCTATATAACGCATTAATTAGTTGTTTTTGCCAAAATGGATCGTGAAATGCATGGGTATAAACGCGAAAGTAGTTTGGTCATGCCAAATTATTTAATGTATATACGAGAATGTGTGTATTTATTATATCTATATAAGTATTTGCATAAAAAATACCAAATATCTCTCGTTATAATATAATTAGTTGAATTATATTTGCATCTCAGATATGTTGCTTAGTAGCTATGTGTATTTAATTGCTGCAATAAATTTTAAACTATATGTCTTCTCACACACACAATAGAAATAGGTACATTTATAATTGCGAAAAAGCGTTTTGGGGCCTGTTGACCCAGGTGATGGGTTTCTGGCAGTGCAAGTTGGCAAATCATCAAGGGCGGCTGTGTCTTCGCTTCTGTGATAATACTTTATTGAAAGATAGACATATAATCAATCATACTTCTTTAATAAGCATTATAAACATGAACTAGATTTGTTGTAATCAGTGATATATAGCGGGGATATCTCACTTTGGTGTTCGACCCATTTTGCTTGCCTCTGATATATAAACATTTTATTACATTTTATATAGTTTTATACGATTAACTTTACAAGGTCGTCCCGACTGTTATATGGAAATATTTAATTGCACGCTAGCGGAAACGTTATACTGGTTATATAGGTGAAAGGTGAAACCTGCATGTTTACGTCTGTAATAAAACATTTTCACGGTTTTATTTAAACGTATTCACGGCTCTACCAAAACGTTTTCACGGTTTTACCAAAACGTTTTTACGGCCAAAGCAAAACGTTTTTACAGCTCTACCAAAATGTTTTCATGGATCGGTCAAAATGCTTTCACGGATTGACGAAAACGTTTTCACGTTTTGAACAAACCGTTTAAACGCCAAGCAATAAAATTTAAACGGGCGTTTAAAATTTTTAAACGGCAACCGTTTTTGATTTTCACGGATAGAAAACGGATAGCAAACGGTATTTCAGCCCGTTTTTTCAAACCGTTGATGTATGTTTTCCCGTGGAGGGTCACAAATATCGGTCACGTGATTTTACTACATACGTTAATTTTATGAGAAATCGTTGGAAATCTGTCGTGAAAATTTCTTAAATGTCATAGTAAGGTGAAAAAATATTGTAATAATAAAGAAACAAGTGATAAATAATCAAAATAAGCCATGTTTAATGGTCACGTTATTGTTCAGACGAAATGTAGAAAATATTTTTTTTCAACCCATGTTAATCTTTTGTATAGTTTCTATATTGTTTTATATTTTACTGCGCGCGTGATTATAAATACGAGTTTACACCAGAAACATGCTATTTCTTATTTACCCGTCCCATTAAACAAGGTACACGAATGGATTGTTTCGAACAAATAAATCATCGATGACAACATCGTTACTCACCGTTTTTCCTCACTGCTTTGAAATATTTTTGATCATCAAAAGATGATTTCGAGGATTTTGCTGTGGTGAAGCAATCTATACCTTTCAGCAACAAGAAATGAACTAAAATATTATACATTGGCAGTCGTTCGGTTCAGTGACTTTAAACTAGAGATGAGCGGGTGAACGTCAGTGCACGCAGTGAAACTGGCAACACACGAGTTGATAAGTAACGTATATACGTCTGTACATAAGGAAAGATGGAAAGAAATATTCAAGAACACCTGCGTCACTTTATTCTTATTCACATCGCTACAATCTATCATAATGAACGTTTTATAGTGATTAATCTATATCTACCTAAATAAACAAAGTTGGTTTATTATTATACTGTATTTTACCCGCAAGCTACATGCAATATTTGTTTTTAATAAATATTCCGATGTTATCAATGTCAAATACTAAAATATCTTAGGCTAAGGGAGGGCTATTTCGCCATTACACGGTTGCACACTTGCCCATATCATTAAAATCACTGTAATATTCACAGCTATGGCCAATCATCATTCAAAAACCAGAAAAAATTACGATGAATTCGAATAATTTCAAATTGTACTATTTGCCACTGTGATTCTCTTGAGAAAAATTAAATTGAAGTTCCATAAATTTTAATCCCTTGTTGATTGCAGAAGACATATAATTGATAAGTACATAATAAAAATAATTAAGTGGTGCAATTATTGCCATTAATCCAGATTTTAATTGGCATTAATTCCAAATCCAAAATCTAAATCCTTATATATGTTATATTTGAAAAAGGGAAATTAATCAATAAAAAAACCCTTATTTTCCTGCACAGTTTAATAAAAGTTGTAAAAAAATTGGAAGCATGCAAAACATTTCGCGCGTAAAGAAAACGCGTAAGATGAAAGCCGTCTTTAGTGAAAGCAAAGGTGCGTGCATAAAATAGAGTTGTCATCTCGTGTATAATTATGCATGTGAACAAAGCTGCACATGCAGCCTGCACTGACGAGGCGTTATCATCACGTTGTATCATGATACATCCATCATCATGAAAGTTTTATATTGATAGTTATAATATTATATTTCATTTATGTATATATATACGACATATCGTCTTCCTAAGCAAAAAAGTTGTTATATATACGATATTTAACCCGCAAACTACAATAATTGTTTTTAAAATTGATAAATATTCAAATGTCAAAAAATTTCAATATCAATGATAAATATTATGTAATCAATGGCAAATACTGCAATATCATTGGCTAAAGGAGTGCGATTTCAGCATTACAAACTAACAGCACTCTTGCCCATGGACATTAAATATCACTATAATATTATAGCATTTCCCTTCATTAAGATAAAAAAATCCAAAATTACGCTTATTGCATACTTAATAGTGCGGTTCTAATTTCAATTTATGGCAACTTTTAATGTTCAAATGTGCGTGTAAAATAACGATAGGAATATAGCGGCAGGGAAGAATCATTAGTGCGATATGAATAACAATAAGGAAAGCCCATAGATCATTTAAATAATAATATATTTTCAATTAACCAAAGTTTACAGTTTTATTATGATAACCATTCAATGACAAAGTTTTTGCAAAGTTCACACAAGCAGTTAATCATCCTTGAATATTACTCTCGCTAGGCTCCCTAAGCTGGATAGCAGTATCCACCGGATAGTGATTTTTTGAACCGTTCTAAAAATTCTAGAAGAAAAATAATTAAAGAGGTTTCTCAATTTAGGAATTGTAAGATTTAATCAAAGTTTCAGCCAACAACGGAAGATTTTTAAAGTGATTGAAAAAAACACTGTTCGATGGACAGCGCTATCTGGCTTTCATACAACCGGCCCCTGGTAGATAGGACTACATCAAAACACTTTTCGACGGTACGCAAGAACGGAACATTCTCTGCAGTGTTATTTTACGTCTTCTTCGCACGGTAATAATAAGGCATGCGGTGATAAAAAACCGATCCAGTGAACGTCTTTTTATCCTAACATGCATTCCCATGCATGTGTGTTGAACTTTCACAATTCTGCTTAAATTTATAATGGCACGAAAGGGAGTTGAATTGAAAATACATTATTATCCATGGGTTTTCTTATTGCTATGCGTCTCGCACTAATGATTCTTCCCTACATGCCTTTGTTAGTTGATTCTCATATTTGAACGTTAAAAGATGACATAAATTAAATCGTTGTTTTATTAAACTTCCATTACGCCCAATTGACATTTTGTCATTGCTCTTATTGAAATTACTGAAGCACTTTATTAAGTATGCAATGAGCGTGTATGTATTGTTTTTCCCCTAATGAAGGGCAAATGCTGTATACAGCTATGGCTTATCAACATGCAGAAAGCAAAGAGATTTGCGAAGTTAAATTATTATAAATTTCAATAATTTCAAATTTTACCATTTGCTACTGAAATTGTCATGAGAAAAATGATATTGAAGTTCCATACATTTTAGTCCTTTGTTGATTACCGAAGACATATAATTAACTAGAAATACATGCATGCAGGAACCCCTCGCTATTTCAAACCAAGTACACAATTTCCTGAGTTAACTGACCTAAACTTATATTATGAAATGACAAAAAACTCAAATCAGTCTTTATATTTTACCGAGTATATTATAGCTAATGTTTCCATCATTCAATACAAAAATAATCATAAAGCTAGTGTAAACATTGCCCGTTCAATTTTGCTGCATTATACCATGCCAGCAATTAAGTAACGGTTTAAAATCGAAGTTTCAAACGATTAAAACAGTACAAAATCTTCACAGACAAAGAAAAAACTTCAAATGTTATTTTATTCTGTAATTGCAGTCGACGCCGGCGGCTAAAAGTTTTATACTTTATAAATATAATGTGTATTTTTGATACCAAAATTCAAATTACACTTTCAAAAACACTTTTTGAAGTTAAAGCAAAGGTGTAATAGCCTTTCACAGGTTTATGCGTTTGCATAAAAAGCTGAAAATTTAACAAATAAACGGCATATAAAGCTGAAAAGTATACAAATACGGCTCATTCTTATCGCGAAACAAATACGAAATAAACAAAGTAAACACGTACCCTTTGTCTTTGAAAACATT